CTAGAAAGTACACCATGGAAGGTAACTGCCACCTACCCGAAATTCGTCCAATAAGGCGGCATCGGATTGTAGTCTCTGAATGTGGGCATCAAAGTCTTCAAGCCTAAGTGGTGGCGGACTAAAAAGCCAAGCAAAATAAAAGCAACCTATTTAAAAAGCAAAATTAATCTGTGAACTTGAAGTAGTGTCTACCTATGCAGAGATGGATACGCCAAGCTGTCAGCACAGTTCGTAGATAAAATCGAAGGCGGTTCACCCTCACAAAAGCCATCGTTACTTTGTTCACATGCCTCAATGCCGGCCCAAGCACTGGTCACTACATCATTTCCACATGACTATAATTATTCAGTGATAAGCGAACACCTTTCACCGTAAACAACTGGCAAGCATAAGGATCATATTCATTAGTTAGAAGCATCACTTTGATGGATTTCCAGCTAATAAAATAAACATTCATCTCGAATGAATGAAAAAGCTCGCGTTCTAGGTATCTGCTTAGACAAGGAAGAAGACGCTTCGAGCACCTGATCAATGGGTTTATAGTCCCGAGCTTTCGAACTCTTAGAGGAAATTCTGAGAGGAGTAACAGCAACCAAAGGGGGGTGGGTATTTAGATTAACCGTAGGCTAATCAACTGACAACCTGATGACTTCTGTCAGTTGTTTGGCCTATGGCCAATATAATTACCCTCCTTTTGGTTGCAGTTTCTCATCTCAAAATTTCCTCTCAGAGTTCGGAAGCCCAGGAGAAAAACATTGATCCGGTGCTCGAAACGTCTTCTTCGTTGTCTAAACTTTAATCTGGGAACGAATGTCAGAATACGAGGGGTATCTGCGAATAACGTCATTAAAGCAAACCATGCTAGTGTGTGACACAATTTGGCTGACACGGAGGCGAAATAATCGATCAGCAGGAAAAACTTGTTTGTTCGGTCAGCTTAAGTAAGTCAATCTCTCCGGGCCCAGTAGGTGTGGAGTCGCGTTGTAACAAAAAAGTAGCATATCCGTTTTACAAAACAGCAGACGCCCTATTCGTCAGGCCAACAGCCTAAAATGATAGTACGTTTGAAGTGCTGAGATTTCATATAGAAATCCAGTTGTTCCAAATGTGACTTACATTTTCGAACGGGCCAATATGGGCCTAGATGCGGGTCCATAATCAACGCGAACTCTTTGCTTGTCGTCTTCAGCGCAGCACAATCCGCACTTCGTGCAGTTACTGAAAATGCGTGTGTTCCTGTAAAAACATCATACACTTGACAAACAGAAAAAAGAGTTTTCCTGTAAAAAAGTACGTGCACTTAACAGCTCAAAGATAGAGATTTTAAGCCGTCATGAAGAAAAACAGACTGTTTCTTACACACCAGTGGCCGATAATCCAGCTTGCTTTAAGGTGACGCGACAGTCTGGCTTAATAAAAAAATATGGTAGAGAAGAGCTCATTTATCGCGTTACGAGGAATACCCGTCAGGGCAACAGTAGCTTATGTAGGCCCACTCATTAATTCCTACTCCCTGTATGTTTTCCTACGAAAACGGTGTTTATAGGGTTTTATGGGTGGGGAATTAGGACCCGCAGCGGAGTATACTTAATAAATGCTAAATGCATTTTTATTTTACTGTATTTAGAAGTGTTGTT